GTTGTTCGCTGCCACCATTTGGCACATGTTGATTAGATGCTGTTTGTTGTGATGTGATTCAACACTTGTGTGGCTGTGTTGTCCTGTTGTGTCGAATGCCTGTGTCTTGAACCTGCGTGCTTCCTTGACAATCCCGTGCACCCTTTCGTTGTTTTGCCCGTGTGGAAACTTACTCGCGTTTGCTTCCCTTTGAGACACTTTGAGTCACCGTGTGATGTACACACTTTCGTTGTTTTGCCCGTGTGGAAACTAACTCGCGTTTGCTTCCCTTTGACACACTTTGAGTCACCGTGTGATGTACACATGTGTGTGTGTGTGTGTGTGTGTGTGTGTGTGTGCGTGCGCGTGCGTGTGTGTGTGTGTGTGTGTGTGTGTGTGTGTGTGTGTGTGTGTTGGGAACTTGACTGTGGAGTGATGGCCTGTCAGCTAATGTGGCTCAACTGCCTGCTCTGTCAACCCTTTTCGGCAATGCGCCTGCCCCCGCCTCCCTTCTTCCCACCTCCACCTGCTCGTTCAGCTGGTGCATTCATGTCTCATCAGAGTGGGAACAGGTTTACTGCTTCTTCTTGTCGGCCTGCACGTCAGGGGCGATGCTGAGGCTGACGCGGTTGAGAACAATGGCGACGACAAAGAGGGCAAAGAAGAAGGCAACAGCCATGAGCGGCTCGCGCACAGTCGAGCCGGCAGGCATCGTGTACGACACAGTAAAGTCCTGGAGTTGATGGCGGAAGAGGGCAGGGTTGCAAGGTGGTGGGCGATGGTGGTGTAGGATGGTGCGAGGTGAGTGGATGCATCAACGACATGCGAGCGGGGAGACATTACGGGGACACAACAAGCACGCTCAGCTGACGCACACATATATGCATGGGCACATACAGGTACACAGACACAGACACACAGACGCAGACACACAGACACAGACACAGACACACAGACACAAACACAGATGCACTCACGAACACACATGTACACGTTCTGACCTGCATGTGCTCCTCGACCAGGTTTGCCTTCTTGAGAACAATGACGGAGCGGCCGGTCGTGTCAAAGTACGTCACCTTCACCTGTCAGTCAAAACAATACCAGGCAACAGCGCA